GCATTTACAATCAACACTTCAAACAGAGCTCTGAGATGCTATGTATATTAATTCTATCAGAAAACCTGGCTCTAGATGGTGAATTTGTCTAAATCAGATTAACAGTGCAGACCATGTAAACACAGTCAGTGTCACTCACCCCACATCGAGCAGGAAGCACGGCTCTCCCTCCGGCAGGTTCAACAGCTCCACCGCTCTCGCTGACATCTGGGTCTGGATCTCAATCATTCGAGAGCTGTGAAGCAACCACATCGTTTTACAGGACTTCTTTTAATGTAAAGACATTCTTACATGAAGAAATGAAACATTTACACATGACAAAGACAAAGAACAGTCACACACACACACACACACACTAGTAACTAAGTAGTTCAAGCACAACTTTAAATGTATACTTCTATTACACTACGACATAGAGACAAATACAGTACTTGTATTAAGTTATGTTAGTAACTAGTTGCTATACAACCTCTGATTATTAGTATGAATACATAAAATTAGTTTATTAAATTTTGTACTGATAATCATAATCTGCACAGTGACACAAGCATAAAAACACAATATCAGACTTTGCCCAAGCACTGATTTATTGTTTGAATACATTCATTTGAACTATTTCATTTAGACTTTAGGACACAAAGAATATTCTTTAGAATGATAACACACCATAATCACAAAGTTGTGTTTTATTGTTCTGCTGAGAGTAGCCTACTTTTTGCCCAAGGACTTTCAGATGAAAATTAGCCTGAAGTTAATCTGGTGCAGTAATTCTAAGAGTGCGTGTTCACGGCTAAATAAATAGTAAAACTAAACAAGGAGAAATCTACACAGACAAACTTCCACGTAACATGTGGGGAATTCTACATCAGACCTTCAGCTGTGACAGAAACTAATATTCTTCTTCTGCGGGTTCATTTCAATTTACCTACAGGAAATGGCCAGTTAGCAGTTGCAAAACTAAGTATTAAATGCAGGATTTTAAAGCTTTAATTATGGCTCAGCCAAAGTTAAGACCATACTGTTTATCACTCACAAATGTAAAGCAAACATCTTTCATCCAGTACATCATTTATTTGAAGTATCCAAGGCCATGTCCTGATTGTCCTCATTTGTCAAGGCAAGAAAATCTGCTGCCTTGTTTTCATGCAACATCCTCATGAGAAATATTGTACCTAGAAGCTACATGACAGCTCCTCTGTGAAATGTTTTATTATGGCAATGCTAACGTAAATATGGCTTCTCATATCGTTCAGTATGCGTAACAGGATCCATAATTACACTGGTGAGCTTCACCACAGTTATCTCCACCTGTGTACTTCCCCTGACATGCCAGGCTGTTCACCTGTGGACAGAGAAGACGTTACAAAAAGCAGGCGGACAAAAATCAGGAAAACACAGGATCCCATCACAGGATTAATACAAGTGAAGGAAAGTTACCTCGGCTCTCTTGATGAACTGCTCAGTGGCGGCTTTCTCATTCTCTTTGTGTCCTCTCCAGGCTCGGAGTGCGGACGCCTGCAGGGCTCGGCCAAAGGAGAAGGTCAGGATCCAGGGTTTGGCCAGAGGGCAGTTGTTGATGGCGTTGAGGTGGACAGAGGCCTCCTCCTCACTCTGCCCGCCTGAGAGAAAAGCCACTCCTACAGGGACAGGTAAATATACACTCACTCTCCTCTGTCTCTGCAGATTTTATTTATTTCTGTGTGAAACCCACAGCTCACCTGTGACCGCCGGAGGAACGGTGCGGCGCAAGGCGGTGAGGGACGCCATAGCAACCTCCTCCGGGCTGTACTTGGTGGAACAACTGTGTCCAGGTGTCACCATGTTGGGTTTGAGGAGGGTGCCTTCCAGGTACACGTGGTGGTCCGACATGGCTTTGTACACGGCAGCCAGGACCTGAGATCCACAGAGGATAACTCTTTCCCTTCCTCCGTCTCAGTTCTTAAAGAAAGAAATACAACTCCAACACACCTACCTTCTCAGTGACGTACTGGCAGCGTTTCAGGTCATGATCTCCATCTGGCAGGATCTCTGGCTCTATGATGGGCACAATACCATGCTGACGGAGAAAAGAAATATCATCAGAACAATGCAGGACCACAACACCACAAAGATACAAAGACAAGCTGTTATAGTGGATCCTGACCTGCTGGCAGATACTAGAGTAGCGTGCAAGAACGTTTGCATTTTCTGTGATTGCCAGTTTAGATGGATTGGTGTCACTGATCTTCAGCACGCAGCGCCACTTTGCAAACAGCGCTCCATCCTTCTTATACTGTGCACAGCGCTCCGACAAACCATCCAGCCCTAGGGAAGAGGTTTTTGTTAAAACGTGATGATAAATGTCCTGAAATTGGGGGAAATAATTCAATGTGGGAAATGATTGAATCCAAAGTGTTATTGTCTGACCCTGTGTGGTGGTTTCCCCACAAGTTCCTGCCAGGGGGACGACTCCCTTGTCAACCTGAGTAATACAGGACAACAGTTTTAAGTTCTGAGATACATAAATATAAGATAAGATAAGCAAAAATCAACCTGTTTGGGACGATAACTACACACCACATTCTTATCATTTGGTACTAAACCGTCTCACCTTGACACCGACCAGGATCCCCCTGTCCCTGCTCATTTTGACGAAGGGGACGCCGTTGTCAGAGTGCTGGTACAGCGTCTCGTGGAAGAAGATGATGCCGCCAAGGCAGTTGTTGATGCGATCGTCTGCACTGAACAGAATCTGCCGGTACTGCCTGCGGTTCTGCTCCGTGTTCTCCACTCCCACCTGGGCCAGCCGCTTGGCCATGCTGCCTGCAGTTCACACATTGTGCACATGAGAAGTTAACACGGATGCTCACTGAGTGGATGTTTTCAATCAGTGACTGAACTGATTGGGTCAGAGTAGAATGAATGGAGTTTTCCACAGAGTGAGGAAAAGGAAGAAACTGAGTGCAACAGACCCACAGACTCATCTGCAGCCAGGATGCCCTTCCCTGGAGAAACTATGCGTAGAGCAGTCTCATGCAGCTCCCTCTTCTGCGCCTCGGAGAGCGTGGGGAACTGGTGCGTCATCTTGAGTGACTGACTCTCTTACAGTCTCTGGTAGAAGATATGACCATATGATTATATTAAGCATCCCCCAAAACAGGTGGTATCCCTCTGAAGCTTGTTAGGATAGACAATACCGTTAATGAAAGCAGAGACAAACTGGTCCTTGAGTGCCAAACTTAGATGCAGGTCTGAAAACATGGGAATCCATGCAGCTGATTTGATGAGCCATAAAACTTTAAGTGCATCATTCTTTGATGATGGAAAGACAATGGATCTCCAATTAAACCAATCACTATGCACAAAGTACCACTTATTTTGCTGCAAGTAAGAAATTGCATTTTGCTGCAAATGTAAAATGTGAAATCTTCTTAAATTACTAATGGTCTTGTCTCCATTGTTCTGTTTACACCAGCTTACTAACTGCAGGTTAAGAGTCAGATACAGGTGGATGTAGCCACTGAAGTCAACATGTAAGAAGAGACAGCAGAGGTATGAGCCGAGCAGCAAAGGATCTTACCTGACAGAGAAATCGAACGTGTCCCACCCACTGATGTGATGAACACTGACGGAGTCTCTCTTGTCAGCTCTGGTTTGTATCCATCTCATTTGTGTCACACGTCTTAAGCCGACACCCCTGGGCGGAGCTTGTACACCCACCTTTGACCCAAATTAGAAAAAACCCTGATGATTCATTGTTCTATTTAAATGTTGAGATTTTTGTTTTGTTGTGAAGCTGCTTCCTTTTCACCTGAATATGACAATTTTCCAATTTCTTCCATCACTTTGCAATGACAAACTCATTCTAGGAGCTTCTGCAGTTTTGTAAATACATCTAAGGGATGGTCCTTTTGCTGCTTATACCTTTTGATATAAACTGTCATATGGATTATCTCATCTGATACATACAAACCTTTACACAGCATGAAAAACAAGTAAGACAGATGACAGGTACAATGCAATACAACACAAGATCACTATGGAGACAAAGATAAGAGTGCAAGAAAAATTCCAAAACTGGTATTAATCACTGTAGAGACAAGAGAGTTTGAATATTTTCTCCAGTGGGTAGAAACTTCCAATGTAAAAATAATATATTAACATGATAAAACACATTTACTCTTATATTCAGACTGACTGTGAAAAAAATAAATGTTTTCTGTTAAAACCCTCTACCCTCTTTTCTCAACCTCATTTTGGCGTTAAACCGTATCCTGTGGCGTTCTATTTTAGTTTTAATTAGTAAAATCTGCCCCTAGGACAGTTTCGAGTCTCCTGATAATTTGGTCTTCACCCTCAAATTCACAGGGGCGTTTGAGTCTCGGAGCAATTCGTGCACTTCGTGGCTTCTTTTTTGAACTTTAAACTGTCAAGAAAATATGTCGGAAATAGAAATAATGTGAGCGAAGGTGGTATTATGTCCTGAAATAATCAGGACGAGCTCAGAAAAATAATTTCCACTTGGAAAATGGGGATTTGTGACCTTTCACTTTTTGTATCATGGACATGCTGATTCTGGCTAAAAGCTTTAAACACTCAATACTCATGAAGAAGTAGAGAGATTTAATGAATGGGATAATTTCTCTCTGTTGAATTCATGTGAGTAGCTGAAGGAGTTGACTGTGTATGTTCACCTTCAGGACGAGGCCTGTTTTCTGTTGTGAGTTCTGTTATGTAACATTAGACTGGTCGGGATGGCTCAGGGTATTTCAGGGGACTCCTCTCTTCACTATTGTGGGTCAGTGTGCCTCTGAAACTAGATGTGGGTCACTGGACTGCCTGCCACGATGCAGCCACCACACAGACATGGTGGACCTGTCTAAGACAAGGGCCTGAGAGGGAATCAGAGTCAGGAAGCAGCCCGAGGAGGAGCTGGTGCTCTTCCATTCAGCAGATAGAATTTTAAATAGACACATGAGTTCACTGCAATTATACATGGCTGCCTCCGCAGGGAGCCTCAATTTCTTTTCTCTGGTACCTAATTAAAAAAATGTAATGATGAGACTTTATCTGGTCCTCAATTTTCTGTCCTATTAAGGCCGTCCTCCATGGATTTGTAAGTCCTCCTCTAAATAGGTCAACCCAAGTTGGCCACAATGTATCCAGGTACAAGAGCAGGAGTGATCTACATACAGTGCAATCTCTGAGCCTGCAGTCTTTTAAAATACATTATTATACTTAAATGTGCATAAATAGTTTTTCAGAGCTTTCAAATACCTCTCATGATCTTCTTCAGGAGATGAAATCTGCTCATCTGTTTGAGGAAATGGCTCAACTGTGAGTCTGGACTTTCAGAGAACAGGTGGATATGGTTAGAGAGCAGTTATTGACACAGCAGCAGATAGATAATAAATGAATGTACCCTCACTGCTCCTGTCACCAGGGACAACAACAGAGACCTCCACAGGAGCTGTTGAGACAAAAACTGGAAACCGAAGACGATTAATACTTCAAGGCGATGGATCAGAAGAACACTGAAAATAAAAAGCAGGAATCATACATGTGTCTAAAGCTTTAACAGTGGAAAACAAGATACAACACGTGTTTTTGGACGCCTCTGAAAAGCCTCTGAGAAAACAAACAGTTTCATGTAAATCACATCACAGGTGCATCACGTTCAGAACTGGGTCAACTGATTCCGATGGGAGCAAAACACAGGTGGGGCTCTGACAGCAATGCAGTTCTAAGCAAAGACGTAGCTTTAATACAATCATCCACTCTGAATAAAAACACAACTACTTTCTTGTCCCCTCATCAGTCTCTTTCTATTGATTGTCCTAATCTTGATTTATTACATTGATTTATCCGTGTTATCGACAATGTTCTGTCTATAACAAGAAAAAAACCAAACTGCTACAGTAATCCAGTCCACTATATCCTGGAGCTCAATTCTAATTTCTTTTAAGTGAGATTATTCTCCAGAGAACACTTTTGATTTATTAGACCAAACCATCACCCATGTACTGAAGGGTCCCACATATTGTAAATGCTTGTCCTCCTCGTTTCATGCAACGTGGGAGTGCACGTAAGGGCAACACACACAACTTCTTCTTCAAATCATTTACAGACAGTTTATTATATTCATAATCACCTCGATAAATATATAAATAATGGATGGATATGAATAAATAGTGGGTAAAAACACTGTAAATTTGAACTACTGCAGATGTGAGCTTCACCATGTGCCCTTATTAGATGGCAGTGTACCTCCTTAATATCCAGTGCAGATATTTATTATCATACTGGAGGACTTTATTTTTATCGTGGGAGCAGAGGTGGGTACCACTGAGAATCAGGATAGAAGAAGAGGAGAGAGTCAAACTACGACTCAAGTAAATGAGGAAGGACTTGACCGCAGTGAGGAAAGATTGATTCTGCTACAGTTAAAGAAATCAGATTGATGATCGATCACCCGTCTGCTTCCCAATTTACTAAAACTCACACACCAGCCCCTTTATTTTGATTCTGCACAAAAAAAAAAATCAACAAACACTGAGAGACTAGAACACTTTTATTGACAGATAAACAATAAGCCACAGAGCTGATAGAAACATTAATGCATCTGCGTTTGGGATATCATCCTCTTCATTGAAATGTTTAGAGCATCTTTTCTTCTTCTTAATAGAAATGTGAGTGAAATAAACAAAGCTTAGCAGCGCAATTATACAAGTAATTTTACGCAAAACAACCATAATTACAAAAATATCAAAATACTTTGCATAAAAAGTGCTTTAGTGATAAAATTACAAAAACATACACTCAGCAATTAACGGCAGCATATTTCTGTTTGCCACAACACCATCACACTGAGCACCGCGTGGTACGACATGAAAGCGTTTCAGCTGCTGTTCTGGATGTATTGCACTGAGATGAGGTACAGTCAAACAGCGAGCTCAGGGGTTTTCTATTATGGGAAAAGGCCTTCCTGTCTGTGACAGTCATTCAGCCATTAACAACCTCTATAAGCTTTGCTAAAACATACTGATGACATTTTTAAAGTCTAAGTTTTACAGCTGACAGCGATGAAGGTGCTTTCAGTTGAGTCCTATTTATTCCACCAGACTTACTTCTTGAGAGTGTGAGTTCCTGAACCAGCAGGAACAGTTGCTCTCAGTTTTACAGAAGCAGGGGAACAGTAACAGTGAAGTGCTACTTACATACTGTAAATCTTCCCCCGCTACATTCACTGCAACCTGAGGGGTCGCTAGCTTCAGAGTTGCAGAGTGTTTGAAATGCAGAAGGAGTTTTGGTGGCACACAAATAAAGAAGAAAATATATTTGGTCAAAATGGCACCGTGTTACTCCTGGTGCTGAATTCCCTTTCAGGGATTTTGGGCATAAATTCAAATCTCAGGAGTGAAAAATATTTTTTTTTAAGTTCAGCAGGCTTATATGATACAGTAAACTATTCTCTATAACAGTTTAAAATGCTCCACTTCATTTTCTTTGTGATTCAAAAAGTCAGGCTGATATTCTGACCCTAACAAGGTCTGCTTTTACCCTGGTCCCTGCACTGAGGGTCTGTGGTGGATCGTCCAGTTGAGCTCAGGCTCGGTGTGAAATGTGTTGAGTGTTGGTTCACTTGCGTCGACTGAAGATGCTCTTTTTACTGGAGCTCTTGTCTGCGGTGCTGAGGCCGATGAGGAGCCGCGCCTTCTCATCCTCCTCCTGCTGCTGCAGGCTGTTGTCTGACTTCCCCTCAGACGCCTTCCCCCGCAGGTCTGAGCCCGCAGCCGGCTTCAAACGCAGCTTCTCTTTTATCATCTGGGCAGGTGGAAGAAAAAAAAGACAACTTTCTTAATAGAACTTTTACTGTCAGTGAAAATATATGTATTTTATCCTCCTGGTAATGGCAAATAAAATAACTGAAATCATAAATAGTATATGTTAAAGGTCCAGTTTGTAAGATTTGGGTGAAAGGGAACTATTGACAGAAATTTAGTGTAGAATAATCCTCATGATGTTTTCACTAATTCATTTCATCTAAATTGTATGAATTGTAGTTTTCTTTACCCCAGAAAAGGCCCTTTATATTTAAATACTTTATATTTACATCAAGGGGACCCTCTCTACAGAGGCCGCCATGTTTGTTACATTAGTCCAGACTGGACAAACTTAACACCTTTTGAGTTTTTATAACTGAAGCTACCACAGGTTCTTTTTCATGTTTGGAAGGAGTGGGTGAGGTGCAACATGCAACTTCCCCACTAGATGTCACTAAATTCTACACACTGTACCTTTAAATAACAACAGTTTTGTGTACCTGTGCTACAAGAGCTTTGCGGCTATCTCGTTTCACAGCCATGGCAAAGTCAAGCCACGTCCAGGTGTTGTTATGATACTCCAAACAAGGCAGAACCAGGTTCAGGTCCTTCCAGTCCACACTGCTCTTTTCTCCCTGAGGAACACAGACATTTCCCAAGCAAACAGGGATTTAACATGAACCAATGATCTGACTGGGAGTAAAAGTTCTTCTTCAAGGGAATTCACATTGGAGGGAAGACACGTTTTTTGTCCTGCTAGTTTCATGAAACAATTTCTTTTTTACACATAACACAGCTTGCTGTTTTGTTGTTAATTCATT